GGTTAAAAAGAGTACAAGTCACATATTTGGAAAGCCAGAGTGAGACATTCTCCAGTTTCAGGATAAAGGCTAAAAAACATTATTCTTTTTAATACTATTTTCCAACACTCTCTGCTACCACCTTTAATTCATATAATGTTTGCAATTTGTATCTCATTACACTTGAGAGATGGCAAGAAAGATCTATGTCTCCCCTTCAAGACAAAAAAACCCTTCCTTCTGACACACAGTATTTTGCATTAAAGAATAGAAAATGTCAAATTTATTTCCTGATCACTAGACTAATACTAAACTAAATAGCAACAAAACTAGCTGAGATGTATGCACATTTCCTGAACTATGATAACTATTCTTTACCTACATTAACAGGCACATAGTTGAGTTCCTTCCTAGAAGCCCTTTAAACCTCCGGATCAACAACTGCCCTGTCCTATTAACCACATCCAAGATATTCTATCTTAATAAGATATATTCAGAATGTCAGTCATCAACAACTCCACAAAAAATATCACTGAAAGATGAAAACTGTATGAGCAGCCGCAGATACCGAAACCACAGTATTCCTGGGATTCCCTGTATTTCCTTCCTGGACTTTAAAAGAAAGATGAGATTTCAACCACTGGCTCCACATGTATTTTGCCATCATCTCAACCAAAAATGTGATTGGATCATTTACAGAATGGAGGAGCAAACAGATGTCTGATCCTCTTTAGCAGTCCATGTTAATATGTGCATAATACCTGTAGTACGTTTACTACAGATACCAGGACTGAGTGATGCATGATCTGAAGGCTCCAGAGTTGTTATTCTCAGTAGTCTTCTGCTGATTATAAGTGTTTTTTCATTATCTAGCTTGACAAAACTAATTGAGGCTTGCATGCACTACCCTTAAACAAAATTGTTCTGTTCTATCAAGTCAATATGTTTTTAAGAGGGAAGGAAGGAGTGAGGGCTTAAAAAAAATTCTGTTACTCCTTTATATTGCAATACTGATGTGAAGAAGAATTAGTTAGATTATACAAATAAACATCAAAAACAAATTAAGTGGTCATACAATTTCATTATTTACCTTTTTTATTGTAAATAAAAACCAATCCTATTATATATAAAAGTAATCTTACATATAAAGAAAAACTCTTGAGACTGAACCCAGGAGCCAGCTTGAAAGCAGAAAGAAATTACTGTGTGAGATGGCGGAAAAGTGCACGCAACTCCTCTGGAAATCAACTCGGTTCACCTGTAGAACAAGGATCCCAGACTTAGCTTGGTTTCCTGGTGACTCAGCACCCACAAGTCCTCTGCTGGTGGACAGCACAGTCTAGTCTTTCAAGGAGCTTTACCCCGGGCTCCTCACACTTCAGAAGCTGAGGGTGGCATTTCAAAATCAATGCATTTGATGCAAGGCCCAGCACTATCTTCAAATTCTGTTGCTGAAACACTGCAGTAGTTACCCAGAAGGATTGCCTCCATTTGAAAGCATCTCATTTTCCCCATTTCCAAGTGCGCTCACATCAACCAGCGAATTGTAGGGCTTTAGAGAAGGAAGAATGACAGGGTGGCACGGAAAGCCAAGCCTAGGCCCTCAGGCCCCCTTGAGCGGGGCGCTTTGGTGCCCCCCCCAGAGGTTTAAGAGAGGGAAGCGTAAGGAAAACGCGCCCTTTCGACCCTCCTTTACTCCTCAGTACCAAGTGACCGCCAGGAACGGGGGACAGCCAGGCCAGGTCCCTCATCCTGACCCGGCGTGAGGGGCAGCTGGCACGGAGGGACACAAGAGCATGGGGGACAACATCTCCGCAAGGCAGGTGGGGCGGTGTGGGGCAGCTGTCGGGGAAGGTGTGTGGGGCAGGCCAGGGCCTCTCTGTGAAGGGGGAGAGCCTTGGGCCGCTCGGAAGCAGCGCAAAGCCATGAACGGGAGAGCCCGTCCACAGCGCACAGCTTGGAAGGCACTGACCAGCTTAGGCACAGCGTGACACGAAAGGGAACATTCCAGAGCTCTGGAGGCTTTAGAGGTTTTATTGCCAGTCGTGCTGAAAGCAAGAGCCGGAACAGAGCATCTCCTGGTTGCTTCACCATCTTCATCTTCCTCATTCTGTCCTCCAGGTGGCCAGTTCAGGCAGACAACTCGTGGGACATGCCTGCTCCAGATCTGCTGAATCCCACATTCTTCTTTGATAGCTCAATTCTTCTGATGACAATTCATTCATTTCTCCTTAAAGGATCATTCTCAGCTTCCCTACATCAACACTACTCTACTCTTATCTAAACAATGCTTCATGAATGAAGCTTTCTATGCTCTCTAGTCCTAACTAAAGACAGCTAAGCTAAGAAAACCTCAAAACATTACATTTCCTATCTACAGCACAGCTCCTCATAAAACTCAGGGGATGGCTGAAGCTCTGCCTATGCACGATCCATCCCCGTTTCCCTCCTCTGAGCTGGCAGGGCACGAGGGCCTCCTGAGGCGCAGGCGTCCGCACTCCAGTTTCCCTGCGCTTGCTTTCCCCACCTGCGGTAAGCAAAGCTGCTTACCTCAGCGTGTTCTTTGGGCCTCTGCAAGGGACTCTCCAGCTTAGCTACAGCATGGCAAGGAAGGGAGTCTTCCAAAGCTCTACCTATGTCAGAGTTTTACTGCCACTCCGGCTGAAACAAAGTGTCCCCTCACTACTTCTGCATCTTTATCATTCTGCCCTGCAGCTGGCCTGATCAGGCTGACCGCTGGTAGCGCCTGCACAGTGCACTTCTGCTGTATCACAGCTTTTCCTCTCCAGTGCTGTTTTCCCTTTTATTTCTATTTGCCCCCAACAGAAAAAAGCTGAAGCACAGGAGCAGCTCGTTCCAGCTGCAGAGAAGCTGCACCTTTCCATGTCACTGAATTTCAGCTGGTGGTTTAAAATGATAAAATGGCCTATTTGTTGTAATTAGACTGGGGAGGGGGGCACTCTTTATGCCACTTTACAAAATATTGTTTCTGGAATGATCAAATTGGCCTTCCTGGAAAGGTTATGACTTTCTGTAAAGGACAAGAGGCCAATAAATACAGAAGAAAATTCATTTAGGACTCAGCAAAAGCAGAACTGCTGATTAAATATTTTTAAAGAAGTGTCTGTTCTCAATCCAAATTTTAGTGATCACTGTTATTACTAACCTAAGTGCTTACTAGCACACATTTCACCCAAAAAGATCTATACAGAATAAATTAAATTATGGTTGCACAGCACAGCCAATAGTCAAAACCAGTGTTATATCATGCCTCAAGTGAGTATACCAGAGGATACACTACTTTTCACCAAAGCAAAGTCATCCAAGAGAGGGCAAACAAAATACCTAAGTCACAAGGCTGGCAGTTTTCATGTGACCTTTTAAGAAAAATGGTGAGTTTTGAAAAGTTTTCTAAGTTTTTGCCAGGGCTATAACCCACATTTTCCAGGAGGGTGTTGAGAATTGGGAATAATTTCTACCAATAGCACTTTCTCTTTACAGATCACAACTGGGCTCCAGAGCACAGGTAAGGAAAGTGCCATAAAGACCAGCTCAGGCCAAAAAAGAGATTCTGGTACTATTTTGAGGACTTGCCACTGTGGATGTACATCTTAACCACAGAATCACAGGAGGGTTTGGGTTGGAAGGAACATTCAGGATCAAGCAGTTCCGACCTCCTGCCATGGGCAAGGACACCTTCCACTAGACCATTATTATTTTAGTAATATTAAAATAAATAAATAAATAAAAACATAATTATAATTTTGTTTTAAAATATCCAGCCTCAAATAACAACAACAACAATAATAATGATGATGATGATGATTATTATGATGATGATGTTTTAAAATCCCCAGCCTCAAACCTCAGCACTGCCTGTCTTCAGAAACACAGATATGTTTTACACCACCGATTGCAATGGCCTAAAAACATGATTTCATCAAGTGACTGGCTGCCTTCTGATGTTAATCTCTCATATTTCACACAGAATGTAATGTTTTGACAGCTGTAATAAAAACCCAGGCAGCATTTTTAAACATGGCATTTAAGACTGCATCAAGTATATTTTCCCTGCATGGGTAACAACAGCCTAAGTGCAAGAAGCATGGAAGGAGCCAGTTAATATTTTTCCATGGGTGCACATCTTATTAACTCCATTGTGCCCACCACCACCTTAACCACCTCTTCCTCTTAAGCATCTCTCCCATCTCCACACTTTCCCTTCATCATTATCTTTTTTCATGTCATTTCTCCCTAGTAAAATGATCCACACTGTTTTTTTCCTAATACTAGCTAAAGATTATTCTTAGTTTTTGCATCAAGAATCAGTTAAGTTTTGAAAAGGTAATTAAGAACTAAAACAGATCCAATTAAAACATTACTAACTCTAGATGAAGTTTATCTACACTGACCTATGTCAGGTATCATCTAGTCTCCCTTTGTAATTATTCCTACACTTTTTTATTAGTTAGAAAATTAGGATCCTCTTATCCTAATACTTTGCCAACAAAACTAAGGAATAGAATTCATTATTTATCAACTAATAACTGTTATCAGTTAAATAACCTTAACAAGCTATCACAGAAAGGATTTCTACTCTGAAATCTTTTAGTCTGAGAAAGAAAGGATTCTTTTCTCTTAGAGAAAAGGATTTTCTCTAACTGGATAGAGAAAAAGGAATTACTTGCACTTAGCGACGTTAACCAATTATTCTGATTACATCTTTCAATATTTTCATCTTCATGCCCATATATTCAATTTTTCATCTTTCAATTGATTCATTTGAAACAAAAAACTAAATATCAGACTTCCTTCTGTTTTCAAGTCTCAGTACATTTCTGAACTCTGAATGAGTTAAATATTTAAATGAAAAATCACTGCATAAACTTGACACAAAAACACATCTCCCAGTGACCTTTATAAAAAACTAAGTTCATTTTCCAACACACTCACTTATGATTAATTTTAGCAATTCAGCTCATTAAATCTTGGACAGCAATAAATACATACTAATACATTCATCATATTTAGAAATAAGTGTTTATTTGACAATCTAAAATAAGTGAGAGACACATTAAGCAAAGCTGAACAACTTTTGGTATTTTTTAGTTTTGAAAAGAGGATCTTAAATAAACTATTTCAAATGGACAGGACCTACAACAACCATCTAGTCCAACTGCCTGACCACTTCAGGGCTGAACAAAAATTAAATTAAAGGCATTTTCCAAATGCCTCTTAAGCCCTGACCAACCTGAGGCAGCGACCACCTCTCTGAAAAGCCACTGCAGTTGCTTAAGCTTTATATTGAAAAGCAGATGAACTAAAATGAACAGATTCATTTTCACAAGGAATTCCTGGTAAAAAAACTGGGAAGGAACAGCTTATTCCCATCAAAGAATCACTTACCTCTAACAGTCTCTATCAGCTTGGGTCTGGGCGGTTTAGATTTGGGAGAGGGAGAGTTAAATCTCAGGTAAGGTCCTTTTTTAAGCGTGCTCCGGTGGCCCTGGTAAATTGGTTTTCCATAAACTAGAGACAGATAATCTTCATATTGGGTCAGTGAAATTCCACCTACAGCTCCCTGATGGACACCAAAAAGGAAAAAAAAAGTCATTTACAATTCTTCATTTATGTAAATTGGAGCAGGACAAAGCTATCACTTTCATTTTGAATTAGTACACCCGCACACACCATTTTTCATGTCCATACTGAACAGTTTTTTCCCAGAAAATAAACCAACTACTTGGCAACTCACATCTGCCCTTCTTTCTTTGCTCTTCACATTTTCAGAAAAGTAAGTTCTAAACTTCTGTTTCCTTGTGTTATCTTCTACTTCCTTCTGCAATGGCTTAGCTGCAGGTAAAAGCTTTTTTGTCAAGCACCCTTGGTTGTTTTTTCTCTTTAGTTTCTTTCTTGGTCTTCACAGCCCTGAGGTTTTGGGCTCTCTTTGTACATTTTTGATCATGTTTCCCTTGTTCTGAATAATTTCTTGCCATTTCAGCCTAAATAGAAAACATAAATGTAATAAATAAATGGAGATTTTTGTCTTCAAGGTTATCAGCAATGCATGGGTAACTTTGAAGCTCTGAGAAAGGGCCTGTTTTTCATGTTAGCCAGCAAGTGAGACCAGGGGTTTTCATTACATAACTACAGTTTTAAAACAGAGGTAAATATTTCATTTTTAATTTATTTATTATTTTAAAAATTTTTTATATTTATTTTACTATAGCTTACTGCATGCTAGCAATAATAGGCAGCTTTCTCATGTTTTCAGGAGGTGAGTAAATCACTTTACTGTGGACATGAAAGAACAAGATCAAGGCGGAAAAACCCAACACAAAAATCTGAACTCATTTTTCCAGCCCTACCTGGATTTCCTCACTGATTTCCTTGATCCTCTCATCCACAGTCCTTCGGATACGAATCTCTTCCAGGACATCTCTGAAACAGAAGAAAGAACCATTTTAGGTCAATGCTTCTCAAATTGCACAGATTTGTTCCTCGGAAAGTAGTGACCTTTAAATGCTCTAAAAACAGAAGCCCAGAACACAGACAGTGAGATTCTGCACCTCTGCACTCCCCAAAATGCACCAAAGCTCATCAAGAGTCCCAATCCCAAATCTGCTCCTGCATGGTGCCACCTGCAAACCCCACTCCCTGCTGGTAAATCCTGACAGCATTACAAATATTTTAGGAATAAGAGGCAGCCATGTGTCACCTCCTACTTTGATCACAACTGAAAAAACAAGAAAACAAAAATATTCCAACTTAACAAAAAAGCAGATGACAAATTATTACATCCTCTAAAAGATAATGAGGGCAGGTAACATGCCTCAAAAAAAAAAAAACCCTTATGCATACAGAATAGCTACCTTCCTCAGGAAAATGCAAATTTATATTGTATTTTTTAATAGAAAATTTCCATTATGATTCAAGCAGGAGTATTTAACACAACTAACAAAGCAAAAGTTCAACAGCCAAAGATCTTTTGCAAGATGATTAAATTCTGTACATTTACAGGCTTATGAAGCCTCTTCTGCTCTGAATAATTAAATTAGGGTTCAATTTTCTTTTAAATGCATGTTGGTATGGAAACAGTTAAACACCCTGGCAGCAGAGCAGTTTGTCCAGCTGTTAAAACCTAAGAAATCAGATTTAGGCACCTGACAAAAATCAGTTCATACCATGAGGGTCGAAAAAATCTGAATTTCAAGAATCAGACAATGATTGCTAGCAAGAGTCAATAAATCCTTTTTGCAGGGAAGAACACAAGTTCTTCAATGCCCAGATTTGGAAACATCAATCTCACAAAGCACTGAATTGTAGACTCTGACCTGTTTGTAGTCAAGGAGTTACTGAAAGCATACATGGCATCTCCATCTTTTGCATGACTAACAGCTTCCAGATTCTCCTCAAGGACTTTTTTATTGTTTTGCACTCCTCTCAAAATCCTTTCAGCATCTGTCAGTATAGACCTTGGCACTTGGATATTTTGAAGGATGGATGGTTTGCTGACTAGATGATGTTCAGGAGGATCAGCTGCAACAGGAGGATTTTTTGCCTAAAATTGAAAGAGAACCTCTAGCTTTTAATCAGAGATTGTAATTTCCTATTAATCTATTATCACATCAATGCCATCATATGAAATACTGCCCATGTGCACTATCAGCAACTTAATTACTCAAGAATGTTCATTATGCTGCAAATATATTTAGAGAAGTGAAAGACATCCAAAAGATCTCAAATGGAAAATGATGTCAAGTATGAGAGGCAATGCTAATGAGGCTAATAAGCATGTGAAAAGATGGCAATTAGAGACATGAACTATCACAAGCAAATCTCTCCATGTAACAGTAATTAAATATAATTAAGAGCCTAATAAAAGCCCAAGTCCTCTAAATATATGCACTTGTTTGGCATCAATCTACCCTCAAGAAACACCAAGCAAAACTTATAAGTTTTAACACGGTAAATCCCTCAGCAGCCCCTTGATCCTTTTTTACTTTTACTCATTTTCTCTTTTCAGAAGGAACAATGAAACCTCTCACTTTGCAGAACCCTTTTACAGAGATAAAAATCGAGCATAAATTAGCTGCTAAGTACAAAAGAAAGGGACACAAACACAGGAAACAAGTTCTTACATTCATTCTCACACTCCTGAGAAAAAACCCAGAGGCCCATGAAAGCTTCATCAAACAGTAAAAAAATTCAAAGTGATAAATGTACTTTTAAAAAAAACCAACAAAAAACACCTCAAACCAAAACCAAAATGCCCAGATGTGAGTAGACTCTGAAAACATCAACTGAAAGAACAGGAAAAAAAATCACACAGATCACAACTTAGTTTTGGCTTTAAGGTTACTTTTTTGTCAAATCATAATTAAACAAAAGTTTATGTTCAAGGCAATATACCAAGTTATTTATCAATTTTATATAGGCTTTCATTTTAAAATGAAACTTTTTGACAAATACTAACTCAGTAAGACAGGTAAAATCTGTGAGAAAAGGTAAGAAACACAGATATATAATTGATTGCAAAATGGTGTGGACTTGCTAGTGAGACCCAGATCATGAAATGGTACCTGGATCTGTTAAATATGTAAAAAATGCTGGTAGCAGCAGCCCACACTGTGCCAATCTGACACAGCAGCTTCCTGCCTGACATTATCTCCTGCAGGGATTTCCTAGGACATAACCAGACAGGAGTAATGTGATCTCTCCAAGAGCAATCCTTTAACAAACATCCAGGTGTGCCACAGGCAGGCCCTGAGATTTCATTGCAAACACACCCAAAACTGCTTCAGCATTTGAGTATTTTATAGAAAGCTCAAAACCCCACAAAAGAAACACACATAAAAAAATCAAGGTATACCTTAATAAGATCATTCATGTCAGATTTCCATGTAGTTGCTTCCTAAAAAGACAGAAGAAGAGCTGTTGAAACTTTAAGGTAAAATGCATAGGAGATATTGGATCAGTTCCTCTGGCCACAATGAATTCCTTGGGTTAGAGCACCACCTTCTGTCTCAGCTCATTCACACCTTTGCTTTATTACAGAGCTGGTTTATAATTTACCCAAAAATGTATCATTATCTTACTTTCAAACCTCTCAGTGATGAGGAGTCAGTAGCTAAGTGTTTAATTGACCCAACTCTCCATTTGTTAAGTCATCACATCTCTGTCTTTCTACTGGCCTTTTTCATAAGAGAGATTTCAAATAATTTCTGTAACTGTGTCTCCCATTCCTTATCCCATCTCATCTTGCTCTGTTGCCTGTACTAAGGTATGTGGTAAGAAAATATTTGCAACCTTAGTGGGGCACAAGGAACCTGTTCCATTCCTAGTAAGAATAGTTAAATGTAAAATCCACAAAGTGTTATAAAATCTATAAAAAATACATCAGCTATGCTATATGACAGATGAGGCTGACTTTTCTACAGATACAGCAACAAAAACCAGACAGGTAATACAAAATATTTTTTTAGGGAAATATGCAAGTTGAAACTTCCAACCACAGAAATGAACCAGCAGAATCAAAGTTATTACATTTCAAGCCAATTCACAGAGGTGAATTTTCAAGCTTTTCTCCTTTCTCACTGTGTATATCGACAAGGACAGAAAGGACCACAGCACACAGGTGGAGCCAGGAATGGCACCAGGGTAATAGATAAAAGCCTCAGTTGTCACAAGCTCAGAAGCAGATCTTGCACCCTCAAAGGAACAAAATCAGTAGCACAAGAAACAGCACAAGGATTCTGTGCCAGGTACTTCCTTGGAAACAGCACTCAATACAAAAAAAAAAGTGGCAAAATGAGAAAGGAAATGCTTAAATCAGCCCTAAAGCTGACTGGAGATAAATGGAACATTTTTTTTTTTCCCAAATGGGAAAATTATTTCAGCTCTGTAGTTCTGCAGAGAACAGGGACTGAAAATATCCAAAACCTTAAAACAAACAAATAAACTTTTTTTTTTTCTCTTTCTGTCCTTCCCTGTCTCTCACCTATTTTATGACTGGGACAATGGCAGTCAGAGTCCATTGCACACCCAGAGCTTTATTCAGACTCCAAACTCTTCCACACACAGAGACTCCAATATTTCAATTAATTGTAAACAGATGTGGATAATTTTACAGGTATAGAAGCAAGAGCAACACTATTAATATCAGACCTGTACGTTTTTCTCCACATTTTTATTCCCCTTCTTCAAACCCCACCTCATTGTGATTAGACCGACTTTACCTGCAGAATGTTGTGCATTTCTCTTCTCAACTTGCCAAGATCTTGAAGTAAATGATCTGCTTTTTGCACTGTTTTCTCAATTGAACTGTAGCTTTCAAAAGAAGAAATTGCATCTGGAGGCAAAGCTTTGTGTCTGAGGGGAGAAACACTCCTGGTTACACCTCTCGTGGCTCCTGAGGCGCCCCAAGAAAGGATTCAACTGTGAAACCAAGCAGGAATTTACAGTGCAAGTACCAAAGCTTTAGATAAACTGGAACTTGCTTTGGCATCTGAAGTAATAGAGAGGTTATTGGGTTTTCTGTGTTTACCACTTAACACCTTCAGCCCAATCCTTTTTATTTTCAATAGTGAAATTACATCTAATAGAGCAACATTTAAACTCTGGATATCTTTCCATTTGAAGCAATTAAGATCTTTCTGCACACTGTTCTAAATCAGACAGCATATATGGGAAGTTTCTCACTGTATTAATGAAATTATAACTTTAAATTATTGCCTGGGGAAAATATGCTTCAGAGTGCATGGCTAAGAACATTTTTTCACCCATTTTAAATCTTAGGAATTGTTAGGTGGCTGCTGCTCCTGTAAAACACTCCAAGTGCAACTTGCTGACCTCTGAGAAAGGTGTTGTGAGCTATCCTTAGCAAAAAGGATAGACTTCATCTGCCTGCAATTCAACAGAACCACAGAATCCTGGAATATTAGAGCTGTAAGGGACCCAAAGGATCAGAGTCCAACTCCTGGCCCTGCACAGACACCCCAACAATGCCACCCTGTCCCTGAGAGTGTTGTCCAAACTCTCTGAACTCTGTCAAGCCTGGGGCTGTGCCCATTCCCTGGGAGCCTGGGCAGTGCCCAGCACCTCTGGGGGAAAAAACCTTTTCCTGATATCCAACCTAAACCTGCCCTGGCACAGCTCCACCTGTTCCCTTGGGTCCTGCCAAAAGTAATGCCAACAGAAATACTCCTGCACAGCTGTGCCGGGCTGCAGGGCCACACCAGTGACTGTTACAGCATCAGTGTCTAATGCACCTCTCCCAGTTTCATGGAAACACAAACTTCTCCTCAGTTTTGGATTGTTGTGTTTATCCACCTGTGTCTCTCAGAATGCCAGCTCCTTTCATTGCTGTTTAATGCTGCCTTCTTGGAATATTCTACTTGCTTTAGTGGTGTTTCTTGAGAATTCAAAACGTGTTCCAGACCTTTCCCTTCACCTACAATGAAGTGAAATTAAGCAGAAAAAAAAGAAAGGTAAGTTAGTTCAATATATTTAATATTTTCTTTTCCTTTCCAGGTATTTCAATATACTCACCAAGAAAAGTAAAATATTTTTAAAATTTAAATATACAGACTTGTTTCAGATAAGGCAAGTCACTTAAAACCACACACACTAATATGTCTTTCTGAGATTGCTTTAAATTAGCAAAGCTAGATGGAACTGGGATAGCAATGAACTGAGTCATTGAGTACAAATCTGTGACATTATGGACAGCATGCTTCTTCTTTTGTCTTATTTCATTTATTCCTGGGCCCACTGAACAATAGGAATACCTGACAGCTTTGTAACAGAGATAGAAACTGATCAGAAGCAGTAAAAGAAAATTACTTTACATTTGTTTTACATCTGCTGCTTTCAATATAATAACCCAGAGACCTTGTGGACCCATGAAAAAAATAAAATAAAAATTCAATTTAACCAATGATAATGACAAAGTTATTGAGTAGTTCCCATGTTTTACATTACTCTGTTAAATCTTCCTGAAACTTGACTTTGAAAAAATATTTCAGTGAGTAGTCCTGTTGAAACTCTAGAGATTAAATCAGCACTGTCTTTAAGTTTTAGTTACTTATGAGTAAGTGACTTATACACAAAACTAACCCTTCCCAAATGTAGATTCCAAATATTCTGAATAGATGCATTTAAGTGCCAGCAACCCAAGGGAAAAGGTCAGAAAAGGTGAGGAATACACAAAGTAACCACCAGGCCATACTAGTTAGGCCAGTGGAGGGCAATAGCTTCTCTTGTAGGTTTGGAAATATTTTCTTTTTCTACTACAGAGTTTTCTTTCTCTGAGATTTTCCCATTTTTGGGTACAGGTTCTGGAGCATATCTTCGAGGAACTGGTGTCTTTAGAGGAGATTTTTGTGTATGAACCCCATGACTTGGAAAATTGCTTGAATATGCTTCAGGGAACACTGAAAAAATAAAGTTATTTAAATGTTGACAATTTTCTTCAAAGGAAATTATATCATAGAATCATAGAATGGTTTGGGCTGGAAGGGACTTGAAAGATCATTCAGTTCCAACCCCTTGGCATGGGCACTGACACCTCCCACTATCCCAGGTTGCTCCAAGCCCTGTCCAACCTGGCCTGGAACACTTCCAGGGATGCAGTACCCACAGCATCTCTGAGCAACCTGTGCCAGGGCCTCACCACCCTCACAAGAATTTCTTCCTGGCATCTAATCTAAACCTACATTCTTTCAGTTTGGAATCATTCCCCCTTGTCCTATCACTACCTGCCCTTGCAGACTCTAGGAAAAAAAAAAATCTAGGGAAGAAACCCCATGCCAGGTCTATAAATTCTGCACAAAAATGCAAAGCATTTTTACACTAGTTAAGTAAACAGGAAGAAAATTTCATACTTCTGACTGCTATCATAAGGGGATTTTAAAAAACCCAAAACCCCACTGTAGTTCATCACAGCCTTCCACACAGATTACGTCTCAATAAGATTATTTTAAATCCAGGCCCCTCCTTATGCAGATTCAGTAAATCAAAAGTCTCACTTTAAATTAAACTGGAAGATACTGGAACATCTTCAGAATGTCACAAAAATTATAAAGAGTATTGGCCAATAAAACAAATTACACAGAAGAAATATTTACTACTCATTACTGATGTGATGCACAATCCAATATTAATGGACACCAAATGAATGCAAAACTAAGAGTGAAAAGAAGAATTTGTCCCCACCTTGGGCAGGTGCAGCAGTGGCAGGGAATAAACCCCTGTGAGATGAAGGTGCTTCGTTAGTGAGTGATCTCTGCCCTGGCTTCTCCCAGTGCCCTGCCAGGGGCCCAGGGACAGGCACAGGACACAGCTGCAGCCCACGACTGTTCACTGCAGAGCTGATGAGATGGGACTGGGAGACAAAAGTACAGAATATTCCTGGTCATTGAATCACAGAATTGTTAAAGATGAAAAGACCTTTAAGATCACTGAGTCCAAGTCTTCTCCCATGTTCCCCACCACGTTCCCCAGCAAACCGAGTCCTCCAGTGCCACATCCATGATTTCTGTAAATTTCCAGGGATGGTGACTCCACCACTGCCCTGTGCATGTTCCAATGCCTGACCACCCCTCAGTGAAGAATTTTCCCCAATACCCAACCAAACCTACCCTGGTGCAGCTTGAGGCCATTTCCCCTGGTCCTGTCCCTGTTCCCTGGGAGCAGAGCCTGACCTGCACCAACCCCTCCCTCCTGTCAGGAGCTGTGCAGAGCCAGAGGGTCCCTCCTGAGCCTCCTTTTCTCCAGGATGAGCCCCTCCCCAGCTCCTCAGTCATTCCTGGGGCTCCAGACCCTTCCCCAGCTCCATTCCCTTCTCTGGACATGTTCCAGCCCTTCAGTGTCTTTCTCATTGTTGAATGCTTTCACTTCTTTTGATCCACTTCTACTGAACTTTCTTTCTTTCTAATACTTAAAAAGAATCCAAATTATTATAACATTAATTCTGAGATACAGAAGAAATTATTAACCTGAAGTTTCTGCCTTGTGACTTAGATACCTGAATATTCATTTGTTGCTCCTGTAGCTTTTCCAGGTGCTGAATCCTTTGCACCATGAAAGCATTCATCTGTTTTTCAAGCTTGCTGACTCTCTGGTGGTAGTGGGGTTCCTCATGTTGAGCCTTCACCTTTTTTTGCTGTTCAGATGCTCGTTGCAGCTGCCTGTCTGTCTCCTGCAGTTTCTGAAGCAGTTCTGAAACTGAGTTCACTTTTGCTTCCAAATCATTTTGAACCTGCAATAAAGGATTAAAAAAAAAAAGGGGGAGGTGAAAAAACCCATTATTGCAGAAGATATGTGAGCATCAGAAGAACAAAACATCCTTCACAGAATCCTGGATTTGCATCCCAAAAGAAACAAAATTCTGTTTAGCCTTAAACTTTTGGTGGTTTAGCAATATTGTGAATTTCTAAGAGATAAATCAAATATTCTCTGTCTTCTGCTCATTTAGTTAAATCAAAATCAGTTCCCTCTGGTATATTGGTCAGTGAGTGTGATATGACAAACACACAAAGCAGTGAGCAGACACATTGAGGCTCTCTGGAGCTACTATCAACAATTTCAGGCTTGTTTGGAGCATTTACTATTTTAAGAGGACAAAGAACTGCTACTCCCACTCACCTTGAGAAGTGGAGCTGTTGTGGCAATGGCAGCAGCAGTGGCTGCTGCAATGGTTGTTGCAGACTCAACTTCCCTCGGTGCTGACCTGGTGTCATCCCCAGCACCTTCCCTTTTTTCTGTAGAGGCACTTCCCAAGAGCTGCACCTTTACCTCCTTATGAACAGGAATAACCTGAGTTCTAGAAAAATAAAAATGTGCCTGTAAACAGAAAAGGCTAGGGCTGGCTGGCTGGCTTTTGCTTTTGCTTGCTTGCTTGCTTGCTTGGCTTGCTTGCTTTGCTTGCTTCTGCTTTTTGCCTTTGCTTCCTAGTTAGGTTAGCTAAGCAGTCCAATTTCTTTCCCTGGACTGTTGCTTTTTCCTTTCCTCTTCCTGAATACCCTCCAACCTGCTCTGGACTGGGATCTGGGGAAACACCAAGGAACACCAAGAGCCTGCACTCTGTGATCTGCAGCAGCCATCCCCAGTGCTGGAGAGCAATCCCCAGGCGTCCAGACCCGGGCGACCACTCCAGGAAAGACTTTCTTGCGTTTGTTCATCTCTTCAGAGTGGTGAAAGAGTTTTGTTGTCATCTGGTGTTGTTAATTTTGGCTTTTGGTGCTGGGGAGTGCTTTGTTCGTTGAATAAACAGGTTCTTTTTCCACTTCTCTCTCAGAGGAAATTTTTCCCTGAACCAGGTGGGTGGGGAGGGGCCGAGGGGTTTATTTCCTGGGGGCTCCTTTCAAGCAGGTTTTTCCAAAATTTGCCCTAAACTAGGCAAAACAGCATTTTCTTCATATCTCCTCCAAGTAAATATTTCCCCCACACAGGATTTCTCCTGGAAGTTCTGACACAAGATATCCAGGGAATAAAATCAATTGAAAACACTTGTATACACAGAAAAAGAACAATGACAGAGAACTGTAAAAAAAACATTTCTTCCTCACACACCAACAACAACTCACACTGACTTCTGCATTAATGCTGCTCTCAGAGCCTCCTTCTGGCCAGTAGCATACTGAGAAATAAAAACATCATCTGTGGGGAAGGACAAACATCCTTTGTTGAGATAATTGGCACAAAATGTCTATTTCACAGGTAGAGACAAAGTATTACTTCAATACTTCAATTTTATTTCAATTACTTCAATACTTCAGATATTTCAATTTAATTTTGCTGTGAAGAATCTGTTGCCTCCAGGAACCACATCACCTATTGCAACAACAAATTGTTTCCTTTCAGTAAGTAGAAAACTTAAATAAAGGTAAGAGTAAGACCAGGCTTAATTTAACACAATTTTTATAGCACTGAATGCTGCTATCAATAAAGTCCAATAATGCTGAGTAAAGTCTCAATGGTAACTTGAGCTCAGGCAACCCAGTCAATAAAATGCTGCAAATTCTGACTTGAAAAAAAGTTTAATTAAGAAAACCCCAGAAAGAGTATTTCCCAGCCATCATCATAAACTACAAGTTTTCTTAATAGGTGTAAATCATGCTAAAAGCATTGCAGGCTCTCCCTCACCCACTGTTAGCTGGGCAGAGGAGGCAAATGCTGCTAAGTCAGGTAGCTGCTGCCTATGAGTGTAAAAGTACTGATTTTTTGTCTTAACTAGGGTATTATTTGTGTTTTTTATCCTCTGCACAGTTCCAGATATCCAAGAAACCTGCATACGGGTGTTTTCTTTAAAAAGCCTTCGCTTCCCTAAATCTGACTGAAATTGATAGACTCAGAAATTAAAGGAAAAGACACTGACATTGTGATTTTTAGGATTCCTAAGGATTAGAAAGACACTTTTTTGGTACAGGCTGCTTGAAGAAAAATATGCCTTTGTAGTACAATAATTCACAAGAGGAAAATGGATCAAAACAAGCCCCTTCCCCAAACTGTCTATTCAGAGACACGAATATCTGGTTAACAAAAGGAATCTCAACACTGGCAGACCCACTCAATTTTAAAAAAATGTAATGCCAGCAATGAGATAAAATTTGCAAAATTAAAGAATGTTTGTTACAATTATCATCTTTTTATCAAAGCAACCCTTGAATATTTTCACTCAGAAGTTTCTATATTGAAAATAAAAAATAATACCTAAAAGCTCCCTTTTCCTTTAATTAATCAGTCTCCTTACAAAAAGGGTGATTGGTGTGTTTTACCTTCAGGTCCTCTGCTATCTTCCAGCAGCACCAAAGGATCATCTTGTGCTGCAGCTTCTCCAGGAGGATCCTTGAGGAGAAGAGCAGAAAAAGCAGAGATCAAAGCCTCTACAGCCAAAATTTTAGAGGCAGATGGAACTTCTGAGCACACAAATGGAACCATTTGCACACAGCAACACAAAGGCCTTGGCACAAAACATGTGAAGACCTCTGCCACAGAAGGGTCTGGACATTGTTGGCAAGAGTTCACGTGGCATTTTAGGGACTAAAACTCCACAAGCACAATTCAAATCAAAACCATATATTCTATGTGCTAAGTAAGTTTATTCTTTTCATTTGTGGCCAAAGAAGCAGCAGTGAAACTGTACCTGCTGAAGTTTAGAGAAGTTGCTAATCTTGGACAATTCAGGATTGCTCACACACAGAGAATTAAGCACTCCGTGTTAAATAAAGCCCTTCTAAAAGCAGCAGCAGTAACACCACACCAGCAGCAACTCAAAGAAAAAGCAGCTGCACAGGTGTGGTGCAAAGGCTGAGCCAAAATCTTGTGCTGCTTTTAGAGGAGCTACAGCTTCTTGAGGAAAACGCTGTTCTCTTAGCTCAGGATTGCAGGAAGGAGCAGCAGCTTTTCTTACCATTTGGGATAAAAACATGGGCTTGGAATTTTCAACTGGAAGCAGGCATTCTGGATATGCTTTGGTGCTTAGGACTCCTAAAATAAAAGCAGTTTTACTGTGGTCAGGATAATTTGTGGTGCATTTTCTGTACAATTCCACATTTCCCTTATCTCTGAAGGCCTGGACATCACAACCCTTGTAACACAAATGACTACAGAGATTGTGCTGAAGCTTAAAAACATCAAGGAATTCTGTGAGTCTGAATGAGAAATTCGATTTACAGCATGGAGAAACCTCAGAAAAACAGAACATTACTAAACAACTGATGCTTTGTAAAGGCTGACCTAGAACAGAGACTAGACAGAGCTTAAGAATAAAGCAGGAATTGATTAAGAGGCCTCAAATAGATCCACCTTGGGCAGCACAATCCAAAATGGCCACAAAAATGGACCACAGGTCATGGGGTCTCACACTTTTATAAGTTTTGGTCCATTTGCATACTGGAGTTAGTTGTCAATATCTTTAGCTTATGAAGTCCCATCCTTTTTGGTTTTCTCTCTTCAGCCCATGTTGTTTCTGTTCTTGGGTCTGAAATTTGGATCATTTGTCCTCAGTCCCCAGCTAGAGAAGGAATTGTTTTGCCTCCCTGCTGAAATGTGGAAAAAATCAAGACTCTACAATTCTAATAAAGATTTGTAGGGAACTGTATGTTTATTATAGTACTGCATGCATGTGGGAACTTATTGCCTTTCAATGGACAAGAACACTCCTGAGAACTCTCGATCTTTTTCTGTTACCCTAATTTCCATATGCATAGAATTTCACAATAGGTTCATGTATATTCATTCTGCTGATTTCGAGTTACACTTACAGCTAGTTACGCCTGTACTCAGTTTTTGTCAGAAAGTACAGAAAGAACTCTTGAGTCACTCTGCCTTGTCTGTTTCAAAGTCCAAAGAGGCTTTTTTATCTCTCATCTTTTTAGTGTAGGAATTTGTATTTTTTTCTCCTTAGCTGGGACAACTTTGCTAGTGCTGCAGATACCAGACTAAACAACATATTTCATTTATGTTAACAAGGACAAAGTGACACATTTCACCTAAATCCAAATAAATTCCTACTCTTAAATTTTCACTCTATCTCACTCCTCTGTGAAGAGAGCTCATCATCCCTAAATATGATGCACTAAAGCAGCAGAGAATGTGAAAAAAAACCCCATAAAAGCTAAAACCTGAGGCATCACATCCTTTAACCAGGGATGTTTAACAGGGATTGAGCATTCCTGCACCCATGCAGAGGGACAACTTCCACTACCCCAGGCTGCTCCAAGCCCCATCCAACTTGGCCTGGAACAGTTCCAGGGATGCAGGGGCCTGGCCTGAAACTTCCAGGGATTCAGGAAGAATTCCAGAGACCCAGGGATCCCGGCCTGGGACACTTCCAGGGATCCAGGGGCCTGGGACACTTCCAGGGATCCAGGGGCCTGGGACACTTCCAGGGATCCAGGGGCCTGGGACACTTCCAGGGATCCTGGCCTGGGACACTTCCAGGGATCCTGGCCTGGGACACTTCCAGGGATCCAGGGGCAGCCGCAGCTCCTGTGGCTCCCTCACAGCCCGCACAGCTCACATTCCATGTGCGGAACAGTTGGGAGAACAAAGAGCGCTGACAACTGCGGGACGGGAACGCAAGAATTCCTTAATTACACAACTCCCCCGTGGCTGAAATCGCCTCCGAGCTCAGCTCTGTGACAAACCGGCGGTCACTGACCTGCAGCGGCGCCGCCCGGGGCCCGGGCCGGCAGCGGGGCGAGGCGGGCGGCTCCGTCCGCAGCCGAACGCGGCGGGCAGGGCGGGCCCGGCACGGAGCTGAGCCCGGCCAGCCCGGGGAGCGGAGCAGCGGCTCGGCCGGCAGGCTGCCCGGGGAGTCCCGGAGCCGCTCTCCGCCTCCGGGGGAGCCTCGGCGCTGCCCCAGCGCCGCCGCTCGGAGCAGCAGCCGGGCGGACCGGACACGGCGCGGTTCCCTCGCACGCCGCGGGCACGGCGGCTGCCCGCGGGAGAGCAGCGCTCCGCTGTCCCGGCCCTAATCCCGGCCCCGTTCCCGCTGTCCCGGCCCGGCCGACGCACGGGAAGCGCGCAACCTGATAGAAGTTGAGGCCATTTCCTCGTGTCCTCTCCCTTGTTTTCTGGGAGCAGAGCCTGACCCCCACCTGGGGTGTGGCTCCACACTTCTGTCAGGGAGTTGTAGAGAACAAGAAAGCCCCCCTGAGCCTCCTCTTCTCCATTCTCAGCCCCTCCAGCTCCCTCAGCTGCTCCTCATCAGACTTGATCACCAGACCCTTTCCTGTGCTCAGGCCTTTGCCACCCCTGCTTTGGGACCTGTTGTAGCATTCCACACTCCACACAGGCATGTTTTTATCTAACCCTTTCTTGCTCTGAGTGAAAGATTAACCCCTTTTCTTTGCAGTGACCTAACTTGCAGTCTGATTGCTGGCTCTGCTTGTTTACTTCCCTTTTGCATCACCCTCACAAAAGAAGAAGTCACCATACTAAAGAAACTGCTGCTAGAGGGGAGTAGAGAAAGTCAGCAAGTACTTTGTGAGCAATTCCCATCCTTTATTCATCAGTGCGTATGATTTGGGCTAGCCAAACAGTTGGAAATGGTTGTTTCCCTCTTCCCCTGCCCAGGGTGCTTTAACGAGGGAAGACTGATGTTCTGGAGAGGGGAAGTACATCCACAGCCATTCACTTTAACGAGGGAAGACTGATGTTCTGGAGAGGGGAAGTACATCCACAGCCATTCACTTGTTATGATTCTCCAGGGCCAGAGTGGAATACGTAAACCTCTGGCTCCAGCTAGAGGCCACTCACGGCTGGGTTTCTAAGCAGAACAGATCTCTCTTTATGAAGTATCACTCTGCTCCGTTAAGGTGTGTGGTACAATAGGCCCAGTATCTCATAGGGAACAAGAAGACAAGAGAATAGAGAAATTGCTGCTTCCCGGGAAGTGGCTAAATATTGCCCGTCTATGAGAAGCAGAGAATAAATGTTTTTTCTCCTTTACTTCTGCATGCACAAACTCAATTTTTTCACTTTAATTAACAGCCTTATCTCAACTGACTACTTGTTTTCCATTTTATGTTCTCTCCCCTGTCACACTAGGAAAGGGAGTGTGATGGAGTGGCTTAGTGACCACCTGGCATTCAGCCAAGGTGAACCCACTACACCCATTTTAAAAAAGGGTAGAAAGGAACACTCTGGAAATGGCCAACCCATCAGCCTCATGTCAGTGCCTCAGAAGATCACGGAACACATCCTCCTTGAAGCTATGGAGAATAGGGAGGTGATTTTGGACAGCCGAGGGTGAGTCTTGCCTGACCTACCCAGTGGCCTTCAATGATGGATCGAGTACATGAAGGGACAAGGGGAAGGCTATAGGTGTCATTTATCTGGACTACCGTAAAGCCTTTGACATGACCCCCAAAACATTCTCCCTAAATTTGAGAGAGATGGATTTGGTGCCTGGACTGTTGGATGGATAAGAAATTGCATGCATGGTGCTTCCAGAGATCAACAGCTAAGAGTCAGGATGGACCTCAAAGTTCTGTTCTCTGATCAATGTCTATTAATATCTTCATTAATCCTGTACACAGAGGTATCCTCAGCAGGTTTGCTGATGTCACCAAGCAGCAGCTGATACACCTGAAGATTGGAATGACTACTAAAGAGATGTGATGTGCTTGAGGAGTGGAACCATAGCAGTCTCATGTGGTTTAAAAAGATCAAGTATGAGGTGCTGCACCTGAGTCAGGGTAGGTCTCAGGATGCATCCAGGCACAGTCTGGCCCCAGGATGCCAAGAGGATGGGAGCTCCTGCCTGTCTGTGCCCTGTCAGCCTGTTGTGTAGGCCCCAAGGCAGCCAGGCTGTTACTACACCACCGTGTCCCTCGCTCTCTGTGCCCGGCATCTCCGGCCCTGCTGCCCTGCTCCCGGAGCCCTGTCCCCGGGCAGAGCCGTTCCCTGCCCGGGCACTGCCCCTTGGGGTGCTCCCTGCTGCGGCCTGGGCTGGCCCCAGAGCAGGGTCCCCCTGCGGGTGGCCCCGGGCGGGCCGCGTGTCCCCGGCCGGCTGTGCCCGGGCAGCTGCCTCAGCCGTGAGGGCTGCAGAGCTGCGGGAGCCCACGGCTCTCTGCCGGCCGCGCTCCAGAGCTCCCAGCTCCAGCTGGCAGGGCCTCAGCGCCCGCCCTGTGCCCTCCCGCAGGGACAGGCAGGCCAGGCCCTGCTTGCTGCCCTCATGGCAGCATTCCTGGCCCCTGCGCTCTCCAAGGGCTTCTCCGGGGGCACCCTCCTGCGACCTTTGGGTCCCTGCACGGGAGCCGTGAGAGACCGGCACAGGGGCTGTTGGCAAGGGCCTGGAGGGACAGCGCCAGGGCCAGTGGCTTCCCACTGACAGAGGGCAGCCTTAGGCTGGAGCTGTGCAAGGACTTCTGCTCTCTGAGGCTGCTGAGCCTCTGGCCCACGCTGCCCACAGGAGCTGTGGCTGCCCCATCCCTGGCTGTGTTCCAGGCCAGCTTGGATGGGCCTTGGAGCAACCTGGCCTAGCGGAAGGTGTCCCTTCCCTTGGCAGCAGGGCTGGGACAAGACAATTTCTAAGCACCCTTCCAAGCCAAGGCATTCTGGGATTCTGTGATCAGAGGGGCTGGGGGTGGCTTGGCTTAATTTCGGCTAGAGATAATTCACCACTCTGAGTTTGGTTGAGTTCAAGGAGTCATGTTCATGAGCCCAGATTCACAGCCCGTGACATTTACCACTACTATAGGCCTGGCTGACATCAATAAAGTCTTGCACACTCCAGATTCTGCACAAATTGCCTTTTATTGACACCAGAGCAAAGCGTTTTCCAGTTTGCTACTTATAAATGCATTAACTCTAGAGCAGGAATATGGGTTGCAACAGATAGCAAGACTGGATATGGCTTTACATCTGTATAAAATTTATATCACGCATGTAATCTATTATAGGCATATGATATAGAATATATATTACAGAGTTATATTCATATTTAATGTATACAGCAAGTATATATCATATGTATGCTATATATGTAATAAATATATCTATTTTATGAAAAACCTTCCAGACATAAAGGGACTATGAGCAACAATATGTGTCACAACAGACACTGACAATAAATATGTGTTCTACTGTTACTATTTAAACGAAATTACATATGCAACTCTTTAAAATTACTTTTTATCCTGATGTAACTCCATATTTCATATTTTGATATTATTTATATTACTATATTGTTTTGATTTATCGTATTTTACTAGTAGATATGATAATTCATAAACTTTATAGTATATAACAGGCATACACAATATATCTATCTATGAAACAAAAACCTTGATTCTGCTATAGATAAAATTTCATGTCAGCTCCAACACACGTGGTCTAATGCTGACATAAAGGTGTCTCTTCCAGGGACATGGAGAGGCTCCATCCATTGACTCATCCCGGGTCAGCAGTGCCAGTTTTTCCTCATACTCTTTTTTGCCCCATTTCTTTTTTTCTTTTTCTGTCCCAGATTCCCACTTTTTTCATGCTTGAAATTTTAGCTCTCCGCAAAGGCTGGGAAGAACTGCATATTGCAGGTGGGGTTTGGAGACTTTAGCTCAGCATGTAGAGCAGGGCTCAATGACTACTGGGTGCCTTTTTTGGAAAGTGAAATGATACAAAGAAGTAGAATAAACCCTCCCGTGGCAGTCCACTTTCTGAGGTGCCAGCAGAGGCTGTTGGACCTTCTCCAGAGCCTTTGCACGCATCCTCTTCTCCTTAGCACCAAATTTGTGCTAGGAGGTGGTTGTCTGCTGCCAGCTGCGAGCAGCACAAGCACAGCTCTGTGCACTTGGCCATGGCTCCTGCCCTTCCTTCAGTCATCCTCTCGGAGAGCGATCCTTTTGAACGTCTTGTGCAGCACCCGGTAATCCCGCATTGCCTGGGTGTGGGCAGCCGGCTGCTGCGCCAGGTGATGGAAGAGATTGTATGTCCTACCCATTCTTACATCTGGGGGTAAATTGATGTCCTGAGGAAACCTCCGGTTACCCACAATGAAGTGCTGGAGGCATTTTTGTCGCAAACATATATGCAGGCTGTCCCTGATATCCGTCAGTCGCTCCCGGAGATGTCCCCTGCTCCACGATGACACGGGCATGGCAATGAGCAGGTGCATGACAATGGTCTTCATGGTGTAGGTGGAGAAGCTGAAGCCCAGAACAAGGCGGGAGAAGAACTGAAGGCATTTGAGGTGCAAGCTGTCAGGGGGGGCCTGCCTGGCAATGTACTTGAAGAACTCAGCCTCTGCCACAGCAAAGGACTCAGGCCAGGCTGTGCTTAGTGTGTAGGCCTCTCTAGGCTGGCTGCTCACAAAGATGGCTGAGTCACCTCTCCGCACCCCGAACAGCATCTCAATCCTGAAGCTTTCTTCACCATTGGTCACCTTGAATTGGCAGGAGCGTGTGGAGGGCAGCAGCGTTAAATGCCAGTTGTGTGACTGAGGCAAAGCTGGCCAGATTGCTTTCACCAGTTGCCGGAACCAGAGGGCAGTTTTCTGCACGTCCAGGTAGGAGTCGGTGCACAGGGTGTCTAGGAGGCTGGGATCCTGATTGCTCCTCAGCTCCTCCTCGGGGTTGTGCAGGAAGCACAGCATGTTCTCACCCTGCTGCTGCCTCGTGCAGGTGCACTCCAGCTGCACGCGGACACGGAAGTTCCTCACGTGCCTCTGCCCCTCACCGTCCAGCTCCAGCTGGAAGCTGTGGCCTCGGGGAGGAGTCATGGGTATGAGCACACGGTACACGACATCCTGCTCACGGGGACTCCAACCTTCAAAGGCACTGCCCACCCCGATGGGTCGGTGCAGGACTGGGTAGAAACTGTCAGACAAGACATGCCCAAAGCAAATTGTATAATTGTCCAACAGGTCAGTTATCCACTCACAGACTCTCTGCAGGTCCAGTACAGGCCACTGTATGCGCTCCATTATATCTTGTCTTCTTCTTGGACTACATTTGCAACATCATTGTCATTGTTGTTTTCTGCAAGTGCAGCCCCATTGACAACATCATTGACCAGGGCCAGGACCACAGCAACAGCTAAGAGCTGCAAGTGTAGCATCTTCTTCTGGGAGAGCTGCTCCACCTGCTGCTCCAGCCGAAGCCTCTCCCATTCCAAGTACTTTGCACGCGCTTCCATGCGCCAATGTGTTTCCTCATCCAAACCATCACCCACGGGCGGCGGGTACTGGATGAGACCTTGCAAGAGCGCGAACAGGAACACGACTGGATCCATGGTCTGCAGGAGGAGGGAGAGAAGGCCTTGAGTGGGGAAGGGAGGGCGGGAACTACTGTTTGCTGGAGGGAGGACAGGATGCTCAGGGTTCTGGGCGCAGGAAGGACAGGGCCCCAGACAGCTGGCAGGCAGCAAGGGCTATCCCAGTGCCCCTGGAGCTGCAGCAGCAGCAGCAGCCCTGTGGCCTGCCCAAGGCTCTCCCATGAGGGGCTGTCCCTGCATGCAGGGGGAGAAGCCAGCCCCGGTTGCAGCATTTCTGCCCCAGCCCTTGTCCCCAGCCCAGCCTCCCCACCGTGTGTGTACTCACCGCTTGCCCAAGCAACAGAGGGCCAGCGTTAACCTGCTGGGGCCTTTTATTGCTTCCCCCTCTGTGACACGTCCCCTGTGATGTCACAGGTGTCAGAGCGCATCACAGCCCAGCCAACCCCACCCTTTGTCCCCTCAGCCAACTCCTCCCTCAGGAACTCAGAAAGGCCCTGGTGCACTGCTTAAGGCTGCTTTTGAGGGAAGCTTCTTCAAATAACTCCCATTGTTCTCTCTTTTGGATTTATTTTCATCTGCCTTCCACTCACAATCTCATAGATATCCCTGTTGGAAGGCGCCCTTGAGGATCATTGAGTCTAAGCTTTGACTCCTCACGGGTTGAGCTACACTCAAATCTCAGAATCAGAGTGGTTGAAAAAGTCCCTGAAGATCCCACAGTGGGACCGCGAACCTAACACTGCCTACTCCTTTAAGAAATTGAGTCCTCAAATATTCCATGCCTTTTCAATCCCTCCAAGAGTGGGGACTCAGCTATTTCCCTTTATTTTGCCTGTCTTTTTTTTTTTTTTTTTTCTTTTTCTTTTTTCTGAACAAGGTGGGGTGAGGCAGAGTGGGAGGTTGGTGGGTTGGTGAGTTGGTTGGTTGGCTGGCTGGAGTTTTTTGTTTGGTTGGTGTTTTATGAGATCCTGATTTTTGGATCATCATAAACTATGTCACATTGAGATTTGTGTTCCTGGTGGCTGGTTCTTGCTAGTGGTGGGATGTGAACAGGGTAAAAAAAGAGGAAGTGGTGGTTACTGGAACGGTACCAGAATGGTACAGTTTACAAATTCAGTGGCTCTTTGTATTCATAGGACAGATTGATGTCCAGCCCACCACCGACCCTGAAATCTGAAAAAAGAATGCATGTCATGCTGCTTAGTGTGCCAGGAAGGGCACATAAAACACCAAACAAACAAAAAACTCCAGCCAGCCAGCCAACCAACTCACCAACCCACCAACCTCCCACTCTGCCTCACCCCACCTTGTTCAGAAAAAAGAAAAAAAAAAAAAAAAAAAAAAAAAAAAAAAAAAAAAAAGACAGGCAAAATAAAGAGGTTACATTAACCTTGGATTCCTCTTGGTGGCATAATGGTGAGTTGTGTTGGACTCAGTCACAGGTCACAGAACAATATGATAGATACATTTGTCATGGCTCTGGAGAGAATTTTGTTTTGATTTATGTATTCTGCTGGTTCTTCACTTAGACTTTACTAAAAACCAGCTAGCAACAGGGGAAAAGCCCGATTCATTCCTGCATGTTCTTATAACAGGATGACATAGACTTAGAAAAGACTTAATGCAAGGCATATATCCAGGAACAGTCTTTTCCAACTTCCGTCCCTTAACAAATGTATCTATTGCAATAATTTCTTCCATTGTTCCTTCTTGTTTCCTTGGGTGTAACTGGCCCTCCTGAGCCTTTCTTATACCAACACTACCAGTGATCATAAATTAGCATAGCTTACCTGTCTCCTTAACATTTACTCGCTGCTTTGCAGCTAAATTACCCTCATGTGCAGGTCTATTGCTATGCTACCTGAAATCTGAAAGAACAGCTTGGGATCTGCCAGATCCTCCTCCCAGACACTTATCCAGGTTCACACCAGCATTACCTTCAAAGAGGGGAAAAGGGGTGCCACACTCCCTGAAGTTAATTTTCTGACTCTAGACTTTTAAATCCATAATCCATGGTGTATTTTTTAAGGCTGTCCTGTTGTGAAATTTTGTTTGCTTCATGCATATGCATGTCACACCACTCCCTCTCCCTGTGAGTTTAGGACTGCAGCTGCATGGCCTCTGATTTTCTGACACACATTTCTTGCTTCCTTGTCTGCCCCTGTTGCATCTGTGCTGTACTGCCTTGGTCCCACCTATCTGCTTGTTCTTACAGAATCAGTGGCACTGACATTCCTCTGAGTCAGGTGTTTATATTCCTCTTGAAGACTTCTCTATCCACACCATGCTTAAGGGCTCATCTCTCAGCTTCTTTATGAGCGTGTAATATGCTCTATCATGATGAAGTTCAAAGAACACAAAGTATTCTTATAGCATACCAATATTACAAAATCATTCGTTTCTTTACACACAAGAAAGATTGGCTAAAAATAAACTAGCTGCTCCTTGAACTTTTCAGAGGAAGTTAGATAACTTTGTGCAGTGGAAGAAAATATTTCAGTTATTACTGAATGTTTAATTCAGAGCTAATTGTGAATTTAATTTCTGGGGGATATTTTCTGAACACTAACAGATTTATCATAAATCTCTCTATATATAAAGCTGCATACCAAAGAACAAATCAGTTCAGGGGCAAAAAAAGTTTTTGCAAACCTGGATTTTAGCCAATTTTTGTGTATGGATGTTTGCATACTCACATATTTTATGCATATGTGTACAAATCTGTCAGAAAGATTGCTATCCTTATCCTAACCACGTGCCATTTGCTAACCACTTTAATGCAGTGAGCATTTTGGGCATATCATGAAAATATAGTTTAGTGATTTGAATACATTATCTTTTATTTTCCTGTGGCCATACACTACACTGCACTGGTTTGATTTACAGGCTAAACTTTTCCAGAGAAGATTTCAATTCTCGACTCTGTACTTCTCTTGCTCAATGCAATGCAATACTCCAAACTTTGTTTCTTTGTTGTTCTCAGAAATTGACATTGTTTGGAGAGTGAACAAAATCAAGAAAAGAGCTTTTGCTGATATTGTCTCTGAAGAAATAATTAATCTACCCTTGAAAACATTCCTTTGATATTGACTTCTGGTAAAAAAAACCAGTTCATTCTTTACCCTATTGTCAAAGTCTGGCAAGAGAAAGAAATAGGCAGAGCTGCAAAACTGCAGAAGGTTTTCAAATGTGACAGAATAACAAGTGCCTGTTTAAGCTAATTGCTACCTTTGTCAAATACTGTTTGAAAAATCATCTTGAAAATTGGTTCTTTTAGAAAACACACTGTGCTCTGCTGTTTTAAAAAAAGTTCACAAATCCCTATTTTGTAATTGTGAATGTTAATTTTGCTGTAATGACAGGTTAATTGCAAGATGTTTTCGATCAAACTGGAGTTGCAGACCTCTGTACACAAGATGGTCTCTTGAAATTTGCTTGGAAGACAGTATTTAGAAAATACTCTGCAAAAACATGATGTCATTGCTATTGTGAATAACCATTGCACAAATTAAGGATCTAGATAGCTTAAAAAACAGTATCAGCAGACTTGCAGTTTATCTGCTTAAGGAAATCAGAAGAAAAATCAGAAGTGAACTTTTCCCTTATGCAAGTGCAAATTAGTGGTGTAAGTGGTGAGACATGGTTGCTGGAGTTATATGGGTTCATTGCAGCTCAAACTGGGCATGATGAAGCTGATGAAGTGTGAGAGCATCCTTGTTCACCCGGTGTGAGGATGGCTTAGCAGTAAGCTATTGCTAGGGAGGGATGGAGGGAGGGAGGGACGGAGGGAGGGAGGGAGGAAAACATTACCTAAAATAATTTGGCACTGGATGACCTGAGGCAGCAATAAGACGAATAAGAAATGCAGTCATGGCAGTATACAGTTAATTCACAAATGAAGGAGATTTCAGAGAAACAATCCGTACATAACTAACTGATAGTATGTAATGTATGTTCTTGGCAGTGTAGCAAACAGGGATTTGCTTAAATTGTAAGCACTCCTGTTTGAAATCCATTTGAGGAGCTGGAAAGCACAGTACAAGTGTAATTATGCTTCACATTAAATTTTTTTGTGTGGGTTTTTGTAACACTTACAGGACCAAGGGTATGGAATTAATGGCCAGGAGGTCCATTACAGCATGATCCTTGGCTTATGATTAGTCAGTCATTTGTGATGGGTCAGGCACACATGCCTTTGTGATATTTTCCTGCCTCAGAGACCATATGGTCCAATAGCCATTTTCATATCCTGTCACTCACTCACTTCCTTAATATGTTCTACACAAATTTCTCTCTCAGTAACTTGCTAAAATCCCCTGCTAGGAAAAGTAGGTCCTGAAGGACAATTCTTTGTCACCATTCTGCTTCACTAACTGCATTAGGTTATGTCTTACTTCATTAACTGTCCGCCATTCAATGTTTTACTTTGTTACCAGTTTAATTCTCCGCTGGCTAATCTCTGTATTTTTTACATGTATCTTCACAGCAAAAGTTGTTTATATGGGGTCAAGGGGTTCATTAATCTGCCAGACATAATTTAGCTATAAAACTGTGGGATGCCATTGCAGAGGGAGATAAATGTGAGGTTGAAATGGTAGGAGGCAGTGATTGCAAATCAGAAGGACCAGGGGAAGCAAGGAAAGAAGGAGACTTTGTGTATGTCTCCCTGTATGATGTCAAAACAACACGTGTTGTAAAGCAACACATGCA